TAGCTGTGATTTCTTTGGAGCACGGTGGGTAGATGTCATTTGGTCTTCTAGTAATATCTGAAATTGTTTGAGTTTCATGCAGCGATGTCTTGATCCAATCTCAAGTGTTGGATAAAGTTTTGTTTTCATGGATTCACTCTAATGTCACTGAGTTCACCTCAACTCTCAATCCCTTTTATGTCTGCTCCTACAGGATCCAATGTAGTGTGTTGCTCATTAGCATATCAATTCAGACATGTGTGGTATAGATAGAAGGAAGAATGGCTGGAGCAAATTGGTCCTGAATATTCTTTAATAGGTGCAAACAAAAGGAACATACATTTCGACAAAAAAAAAGTGTCTTCTTTAGAGTTACAGCTTGCTGTCTTATGAGATCTATGTATAGAGCTCCGGACCCCACGTGACTCTCAGTTAGTAGACGCCATATTGGCAGGTAAAAGAAGCTAAACAAACACGGATCGTAACCATGAACGTGAACGGGATCGGCTTGGATTTTACTTCGTCGGAGTTTACTTCACACTTTAAAACCGAATAAATCATTTTATAAAGTCAGAAATTAAATAGACTAAACATCTCCGACCCTTACCGTGCCCCTGGGATACTTTTTAAAAATGCCAGAAGCTGTTGGAGCGGACTTCTTACCGGACCTGGCCGGGGAACCCCTTGGGATATCCCCGGAGGAGCTGGCTCAGGTGGCTGGGGAGAGGGAAGTCTGGGCCTCTCGACGCTACTGCTCCCGCAACCCGACTCCGGATACGCGGATGAAAATGGATGGATGGATGGACAAATAACAGATTTACATGTAAGTAGTTTAAATAGAGTGCTGTGCTGTTTGAATGTATAAACTGAACTCCAAGAGAAATCACTAGTTTGACTGTTTTCCGTGAATAAATTAAAAATGTCAGGCAGGAGCGTCTCAGGATCTGTCTGAGATCTATCTCGGTGAGACAGATAATAGCAATCCAAAGTGCTTTTTATGAGCGATCTGACAATTGATCAACCATTGCTTAAAAATTAAATACAGCTTAGCCGGTTAAATGCTGTGATCATAAAACACGTAAACAGCAAGCACGCAGAACTCACAAGGCAACGTTTTACGTGATGTTTGCTTGTTGCTGTGAGTAATAAGACAGAAAAAGCCATGCCAAAATAAGTTTAGGAAGCCCACTAAGAATCATAATAAAAGCATTTAAAATAAATACCATACACAGTTGAGGAAACATTGGTTTAAGTACCTGATATGAAGCGGTCGCTGCATAAGCGAAAACCTTTACTCTCGGGATCCCCCAGTTTCATTTCAGCCCGGTCACTAGCGCGTTTTATTACAATGATCCAACGTTTGCGGCGCTCCGGATCTTGGGGAATCCTGTAGATGGCTCATCCCTTATGTCGTCCGTGTTTGTTCTGCATCCTGGGACACAACAGGAATCTACCATATTTCCTGTCTGATTGAGTTTTCTGACAATAACAAATAGTCCAGCTGCCGGCTTCTAACTGCCAAGATGGCGCCGTTTCGATTTGAACTGTTGCATGCCGGGAGAAGTGACGTCAACACCCGGAGCTCTATACACGGTGTTGACTTATCAATTATTCCAATCATCTGCCCTTCATTGGTCAGTAGAAGGGGGAGGAGTTCATGTTAATACAATTAGTGACAGAAGTACAAAAAAAGACACACACACACACACACACACACACACACACACGCACACACATATATATATATATATATATATATATATATGCTCACAAGAATTAAAGGAACACTTTTTTTTATTGGGCCTGGCATGAAATCAATTAAACCTGTCTGATAATTTCCTGGTTGATTAAGCAGCTGAGGGCATTGTTAATCACTTTCAGCTGTATTGGTGTTCATGGACTTAACGACAGGTGCACTAAAGTGGCAACAATTACAAAACCCTCAAAACAGGACTGGTTTAACATGTAGAGGTCATTTCAAGTTTCTCCCTCTTGATCTTTTTTGGCTGGTTTTCCACTCGTGCTAGTTTTGGCTCTCTACTGGCAGTATGAGGCGACTCCTTGACCCTACAGAAGTGCACAGGTTGTCCGACTTCTCCAGGATGGCACATCCACACGTGCTGCAGCAAGAAGGTTTAATGTGTCTCCCAGCACAATCTCCAGAACATGGAGGAGAATTCAGGAGACTGGCGGTTATTCTCGGAGAGCTGGACAGGGCCGTAGAAGGTCCACAACCCATCAGCAGGACTGATACCTGCTCCTTTGTGCAAGGTGGAACAGGCTGAGCACTGCTCGTGCCCTACAGAATGACCTCCAGAGGGCCACTGGTGTGAATGTCTCTACCCAAACGATCAGGAACAGACTTCATGAAGATGGCCTGAGGGCCCGACGTCCTGTAGTGGGCCCTCTGCTCACTGCCCAGCACCATAGAGCTCGACTGGCATTTGCTCAAGAACACCAGAATTGGCAAGTCCGCCACTGGCACCCTGTACTTTTTACAGACGAGAGCAGGTTCACCCTGAGCACCCGTGATAGATGTGAAAGAGTCTGGAGAAGACAGGAGAATGTTATGCTGCCTGCAACGTCGTTCAACATGACAGGTTTGGTGGTGGGTCAGTGATGGTCTGAGGAGGTATATCCATGGAGGGACACACAGACCTCTACTGCATAGGAAATGGTGCTCTGACTGCCATAAGGTATCAAGATGAAATCCTTGAACCCTTTGTCAGGCCCTACACTGATGCAGCAGGTCCTGGTTTTCTCCTAATGCACGACATGTGGCAAGAGTATGCAGGCAGTACCTGGAGGATGAAGGAATTGAAACAATTGAATGGCCTTCAAGATCCCCTGACTTAAACCCAATAGAACATCTGTGGGACATTATGTTTCTGTCCATTAGGCGGTGCCAGGTTGCTCCTCAGACTGTACAAGAGCTCAGGGATGCCCTCACACAAATCTGGGAGGAAATGCCACAAGACACCATCCGTTGTCTCATCAGGAGCATGCCCCGACGTCGTCAAGCATGCACACAAGCTATTGGGGGCCACACAAGACTCTGAAAAGCAATTTGATTTGCAGAAATTAAGTTTTTCAAATCTCAGATGAACCTAAAAATGCTCCCATTGATATTTTTACCCCGCTCAAAAAACAAACAAATAAATCAAAAACACAAAATTAAAAACAGCAGCTCTCTTCAGTACTGAGACTTTCTTCACTTCAATCGAAATAGAACTTTCCAGGGTGAGAAAAAAAATCTTTCCGAACATGTGGCAAATCAGAAAGGGTTTGTGCATTTTTCATGAATATTTGGAACATGCTTCGTGTTTCCAACACTGACTGACTGAATTAAATAGGATTTAAAGATTTGCTAATGTTTTTATCTCGTCTGTTGTCAATAATATCTGTGCTGTTTCAATTTATGTCCAGATATCTGTTTTTAGTTTCTAAATTCAATCTGGTACCAAAAACAAAAGTCTGCAGTGATTATTTAGACAAGTAGGGAAGATTTAACTGTTTAAAATAACACATCCCTTCAGAACCAGCAGTTCATGTCGAGGAAACCGAAACACAGAGTGATGTTTTCTTTTATTTAAACTTTCTGCATGAAATCAGCTTTACGACAGCTTACACACGTTTGGATTATTTATGCAACATGTGAGGTTTCGTTGTTTATTATAGGCTGCTGTGCTTAAACATATCTGCTTCACAAGCTGCTGGGAGGATTTTTAAATGTTAGAAAGCTGTGAAGCTGTCAGAGGCACTGGCAAAAGTAATGTTATGAAGTTGTTACACACACACACACACACACACACACACACACACACACGCACGCACGCACGCACGCACGCACACACGCACGCACGCACGCACGCACGCACGCACACTTTGGAGCAGCTGGTGTCTGGAGAGCTGCAGCTCATTACCATGAGACCCGCGGCTGAGAGCAGGGCTTGGGCTTTCCCTGTTAGAGAACAAGACTGAGTCGTACATCCCTAACGAAGGAATAGACCCACACAGGTCCAGTGCTCTGTCCACCTCCTCCCTTCTTCTTTTGTTCTTAAATCCTGCAAAATTACAACCACAAGCTAATAAGTCCAACAAGTAAATGAGCACTGCCAGCTGAAACACACACCTCCTCCTGCTGGGAGAGCGTTAACTACTGACAAACCCCATGACAGATGGATAAATAGCTGAGAGGAGATCAGGAAAACATGCTCCAGAGAGTGAGGGACAAGCAGATGGAAAAGTCTTCCCACACAAAAGAGGAAAAAAATATGCTCCGAGGACTCTGGGAAAAATCAAGACGGCAGAAGGTGAATGGACTTGTAATGAAACTCAAGGTTGATCACACATGACAAGCTCCGTGCTGTGCAGGTAGCAGAACAGAATTAAAGACACAGGTGTGTACGTGGAGTCAAACACGTCTGCTGCTGCTACCTTTGTGTGGAGAAACATGATAGGATGTGGAACGGGGACACGTGCAGTCTCAACAAATGCATTGAAAGTTGAAAATCAACTCCTCTGCTTGTAGACAAGTGAAACTGCAACAATGTGAGCTAAAGACAAGAATACCAAGTAGCAAAGTTCTGGAAAAATGCATTAGAGTGATGACAAGATAAAGGGACCGACCTGCCTGATGCAGCCAGAACTGAAGCTCTCCATTTCAACCTTCCCTCCTCCCACCCTTCCTCTCATGCTCCCTCCCCTCTTTCACTTAATCCCTCTCTCACTCCGTGTCTCACCCACCTTCCATACACACTCAGAGGCACACAAACAGAAAAAAGAACAGAGGAGAAACCAGAGAGCGGAACTGCGGCGGCACGATGGGGATATTCCTCCTGCTCCGTTGCTGAGGAGTCCGGAGTTCAGCCACAGCACCCGTGTGAGAGAGTGTGCGTGTGTGTGTGTGTGTGTGTGCGTGTGTGTGTGTGCGTGTCTGTGTATGAGTGACTGAAAACAAGCAGACATCGTGCAGAGAAGGAAAACGGGAGCAGAGAGAAGGGGTGGGGTGGGGTGGGGGGAGCACTGACCGTCTGGGGCTTAGAGGAACCGAACGCAGGTGGATCAGAGGACGCTGATGTGCAACAACTATTCCCAACTACTGCCGCTCTCGCTCCGCCTGCAAGCACGTCCTCCTAACTTCTGCCATGGAATAGCTTCCTGTTCCAGTTCGCCTCTGATCTGCGAAAGGAAACGGGCATGCACGGGCACAGCTGGGGCGCTAGCCTATCTCATCCTTTACGTCAGCACTTCACTGTCTGAGGTGAGTTGTTCCGCTTTTCTGTTTCATCGCTCAGTCTGACAATGAGATGGGGAGAAAGAAAAAAGTATGTTCAAATAACCTCTGGAGAGGGAGATCCAAGAAATCTACTCACTCAGAGGGAGTGAGCCCCGGATGAGCCACCAAGGATATGTCTGTGCAGAAGATTTTCTGAGCCAATATCAGATATGTGCGGCAGATGAAAGGAGGTAAAGCTCTGACTTATTTTATGTTTCCGCTCTTGTGAAAGATTCCACATGAAATCATGTCATCACTCTAGACAAGTTAAACACATGAAGAACTCTCTGCCACTGCATGCTGATAGTCATAAAAGCTGGCAGGCCAGTTTTTGTGTCAGAGAGGATTTTGATCCAGACTTAACGTGACCAAACCGGCTTCATGGATAAAAAAAGAGCTGGCGTGATGCTGCATTTCCTCTCAGTTTTGCAGCTGACCGAGCATTCCATAAAACATACACTGATGAAGACTGTTCCTCATTTATGAACGCAGGTATAGGAGCAGATAACGAGAGCGTAGCGTCATTCCGTTCACTGCATCAGAACTGAAACTGCACTTAAACTGGATGAAATATGTGGAAGTTTGAGTTTCTGACACGAGCCGCCCTTAACTGTCCTTCAGTTGCCACGAGAAAAGCAACGCCAGTCCCACTCATCCTCACCAACCTGCCGCTGCCACTCGGTCTCTTTTTCAAAAACACGGCTCACATCTGATATCATCTCCCCTCTGCTCAGTTTCCACAGAACATGCAGACAGAAAGAGATGAGCATCAAGATGAATAAATCAGGGAAGGACGGATATTTTCTGCTGTGAGGAAAATAGGTAGAACTTCCAGGGATTTTTTTTTTGAGTCGGCCTGTGAGGAATGAGTGAAGGGCGGAGTGTGTATTCACCTCCAGTGGACCCGCTCGCTGGGAGGGGCGATCGTTCATCCTGAAAACAAACGGCTCTCTTCAGAGAGAATGCTTTTGGAACGAGCCAGATGTTGCCTTTCATGTGCTAATAGGATTATTAATTAACAGTCTGAGGTTTTGTCACAGAGTTCAGGTGAATTGTTCAGGTTGTGCAGGAGAGAATGTGTGTGTGTGTGTGTGTGTGTGTGTGTGTGTGTGTGTGTGTGTGTGTGTGTGTGTGTGTGTGTGTGTGTGTGTGTGTGTGCGTGCGTGCGTGCGTGCGTGCGCGCGTTTTCTACTGCCTTGCAGTTGGTGCCCAGTCAGCTGAGGCTCCAACTGGCCCAGAGGTAGCAGAGCTGAGCGTGTGTAAAACCTTTCTGTGGTGAAAGGAAACATCATCTTTGCACAAGATGATTTTTTTGCATTATTTTTCTAAATCCTGATAGAACAAAATCAATAATATTTAATCTTTTTTTTCTGCAGCCACAGCGATGTAAATACAAGACAAAAGATTTAGATTCATTTCAACACCACTGAAGAATCTTTATGGTGAGAATGTTTTTATCACCTTGTAGGATGAGGCACAGATACTGTTCCTGGGATTAGATCATTGATCTGGTCAGGTCAGAGGTCAGGATCAATTTCAGTAAAGCTGACGGGTTTAATGTGATGAGACCACTACTTTAGACCTTCATGATTGTGGACTGTCGTTTTAGGAGCATTGTAAATCAGAATTATATATTATTGGTCGAAGTTAAGCCTTACATTAAAAGCTTTAATGTAAAGAAATGATTTTTGCTCACAATCGGTTGTTACACTGAAGCAACACTCTGGTGCCGTCACACTGAGTGTGCTCGGTTCAGACCCTTTTTATAAAAATTTGCTTTAATATTATTTAATTACAGCCAGTTTGTCATTGGGCTGTAAAGGTGGGGAAGAAATCAAGAACTGCATTCATGATTCATGAGCGATCTCGTTTCCTGAGGAGAGCCACAGGTCCCTGTTCTCGTATTATAAGAATTATTAAACACCTTTAAGTGACAACATTTCTCTGCAAACAGCCAAAGGCTAGTCACTGGGATCTAGAACCAGTAGAGTTTTCATTGAGGGAAGGGAAGTGAAGAAATGTGAAGCGTTGCATAAGTTTGGCAACCCATGAGACCAAGTTGTGACTGAATGAATCTGACATGGAGGCAGCGCTGAGTGGCAGTGACTGAACTCTCTATCCCCCCGTTTCATATCGGCTCATGAGTAGACGAGCCAGGTGGAGGTGTAGCACAGGACAGACAGTGTCACCTGGGACATCTTAGCCAACAGCTGTGGCTGCCTCAAAATTAATGCTCAGCAGTAGCTCAGGAGGTAGTCAGGAGGTTGTAGGTTCAATTCCAGCTCTTGCCAGAGAATGCTGTTGTTGTGTCCTTGGGTAAGACACTTCACCCACACTGCCGGCTGGTGGCGGTCGGAGGTACCGGTGTTCAGCAGTCTCGCTTCCGTTTGACAGCTGTCGCTACATTGTAGCTCATCATCACCAGCGTGTGAATGACTGGTTGTGTTGTGGAGTGCCTTGGGGGGTTGCAGAACCCCAAGAACATGCTATACAAATACAGGCCATTTACCGTAGTGTAGAGCAGAGTTTTAACCTGAAGAGGGGGCAATACTTACAGTTTTAGGCAGAATTTTAAAACTTTTACAATAAAACGACTTAAGATGCCTAAATAATACACATCTACAGCGCTATTAGACTGGCTGACTCACTTTTTAAGGGAAGAGACATTTGGGTACAGCAAGTTTTAGTAAACAAGTATGGAGGATAACTCCTTTAGACACAACAGCCCTTCATGAGTTTCTTCAATTTAAAACTTATCATATTTAATATACAGACAATTTATCATTTTACCATTACACATACGCTTGCAGTCTGTTTTGTATTGAATATTTTCTAAAAAGAAACGTTGAAAATTCAAGTTCATTTAGTTTTTAAACTTGTATTTCTGTTGCTAACTGAAGGCTGAGAAACAAGAGATTCAGCAAAGCCGACTAAACAATACGTCTCACCAACATGACAGGGTGGCTGCTGGTGTCGTTCTCGTCATGGGTCGCTCTCCTTGGCTTCACCTTTTTCTTTTCAACTCAATTTCTGTCTTTTCACTCAAATCCGATCCTGCACCACCCAAGCACGGCCACATCTCTACATTCTTACAGTCTGCATATTCAAATATTTTCCTCTTCTTTATCTATCCAGCATCTTTTTTATTATCTTTGCGTCGTTTTCTCCTGAATGACTGACTATATGAAAGCAGCGGGGGAGTTCTCTAGTTACCTATCAGCTTTGAAAACTCAGCGTGTCTGGAAGGCAAAGAAAAGAGGGGAAACAACAGAAACAGACATCCAACAAAGACGAGTGCAATAAGGAGAAAAGCGAGTGAAGACAGAGAGATATATTGTCGCGTTGAAAGATGAAGAGCAGGAAAAAGCGAGACTGATGTGATGCATCCTGATTAGAGCAGGCACCCACTATGGACAGGCTTCCTGAGAATTAATCAAACTCACATAAACCCACCTGAGCATGAGCACATCACCAACGCCGACCGACTATGGCGAGCAGTGACAGAGCAAAGAAAACAAGTAGAATTCGGTCAGGACAGGCAGAGTGACAAAAGAATAAGTCTGCAATGTCCGCAGGCTACAGTCCAAGGATAAGAGGAGACCATAAATACACGCAAGCATGCGCTTTTTATGACTATAATTTCTAGTACCCTACATTGTGGTGGTGGTGGTTGGGGGGGGGGGGGGGGGGGATTTCTAATGATATGAATTGCCCACACCGTATCTAGGAGGCTCTCGGATGATACCGAGGTTTTGAGACGAACAACTGGGAATACAAACACTCACGATGAACAAAGTTAAATGTGGAATGTGTAAAATAATTAGAGGACAAGTGTTCCTTGAAAGGACGTGTAGTCCTACCACCTGCCTTAGCTTTAAACTAAGATCATCCTATATTAAAGAATGATGGGCTGTGAAGTCACTTGGGTCAAGTATAGAAAATAATTTCCTGTGTGATCTGCTCATACTCAGATTATGTGTTGTGATTGACCCTCAGCTACAAACAACACAATGTGGATGTTAAACTGTTAATAATTCAATGCATGAATGAATTTTATATGAAATACTGTGCCTCGGCACCATAGAAGAAGATCTCCAATGAGAGCTTCAGTTTGGATCATATAATTACTACAGAAGCCTAGATGGAACAAACCAGTTAGCAATTATTTAAATGTTTGCTGCCAACTCACATTTTCCTGCACTGGTATAGAGAAAGAGAATGAGCTGGAGGTTGGTGATTCTAAACCAATATACCGACTTTTATCGCTGCATGTAATTCATTATAAAATCAGGTTCATTTCTCCAATTGAAAATGACTTTAACTGAAAACTAATTCTGCTGTTGAATAAAACTAAAGCTATTTAAATTCCAACAATGTTCTGCCAATGGAAATCCAAGAACATTGTTCCACCTTTTTTTTAAATACCTGCAAACTGAGAAGAACTTGGAGCTTTTCTCTTTTCAGTCACTAATTATTAGTTGCACATTTTATTATCTAGCATAAGTTCTTCAAAGCGACACAGAACGAGGATCCTGAACTGAACTCTAGACACCCCTCACCTCACTCATTATGTTTACTATACATAATATATGGAATAAAAACAGTGTTCTACAAAAATACAAAAAGTGCTGTTGTTGTTTTTAGTTCTTCTTTTAAAACATTCTTGTTTAACTTTCCCAATTTAAAATAACAACTAAGACTTTTCTGTGGTATTTACTGATCACCAGCCACAGAGGACCAAACTGAAAATTCATCAATTCCGGGCAACAGCCGAGAACTTTGAGCACCTCTATTTGTTAATGTAACGCCACAGAAAAAGCTAAAAATCTTTAAAACAGTCCTTGACAACAGCGCAGTGGACCATGACGCCTGATCAGCAAACTGCCTGACAGACAATCCCTGAAAATCCTGTGACATGCAGCTTGTTTCTCTGGTATTTACTGAAAAAATCTGAGCAGCTTTGGTGCTTTGTCTAATGCATTGCA